CACCAGTTTTTTTTTCTTCATTAAACACCCCCCCCCCCCCCCACATCCCCCCCCCCCCCCCCCCCCCCCCCCCCCCCCCCCTTTTTTTTTTTTTTTTCGTTTTCGTCGCTGTTATTTGGGGGCGTTACTTGCTGGGATAGTTTTTGAGTGGTTGAAGAATATCGTGGTGGAAAATAGATTGCCGATTTGGATGTTACAACACAATACAATCCTGTTATATACCTAACCTACCTAGGATGTACTATAATGTAAAGTACATACCTAACACAGGTAATTCCCAATCCTGATGGCAGTCCCGCAATCTCCATTGCAGTAGCATGCATCTGATTCCGTTTGTTATGTGACCCTCTTACTCCAGGCCTCGCACAAGGAGTAGGTTACCACTGTAACTACCTAATGCACGCAACGTGAACTACTGTTTGTTTTGAAAAAGTTGTTGCGTAGGGGCAAGGTTGGGCTTGCTTCTAAAATAGTGCGCTTGAAAGAGAACAATGAGGTAAACAATTGGGTATCGTTCGACCGGTTGGAAAAGCCATTGTAATGTTTAATATGAGCTATACCGTATTTGTTATGAATTTATGTTTTTTTTTTATAACCCTTTCTTTAGTTATGTCTTTTACAGGGTTTGTATCGGTTTACACACATACATGTACTAAGGTTACGTGTAAGTCACAAGTTACATGTAGGTACCTACCTTAGGTTAGGTACGCATACCGAATCTTGTTCGATCTTAGGTACCTAGGTAGGTAGGCAGGTCTGTTAGGTAGAAGCAAAAGCAAAAGAAGGCAGGAGGTAAAGAAGGAACCTTACGTTCAAAGAGACTGTTATTGCCGTAATTGTAGCCCTTTAAAATTCGTTAAACGTCTCAAGCGATGGATGCCCTTTGTGCTTCTGTGCTACATGAAGGTGGATATTTGGCAATCCGATTCCCCTGCCGTACTATGTATTGCCCTCACTTTATGGTTCAGTGCCTTAATTAGTAGGTACCCAACCCACCCAATTGCCTCCCTATGACAGTATATGTAGTACATACCTTACTTGAGAAAAGCTGAGATACATCATACAACAATACAAGTACATAAAAGATACAAGAGACATAGCTCAAACTTACGCAAATCTGTAAGTACCTAATATTTGTTAGTTACTTGTTATTTTACTTTTATACCTCATCTTTATACTGTAACTACCTAACTGTACCTAAAGCTATTGTAGCCACTCTTGCTACCTACTGTAGCTACCTAGGTACTAGCTGCAGGTCACCACCTACTACTACCTCTACTACCTCACGGGCTATTACCCATGGCTTATCTTACCTGATGTTGTCCCTCCACTCTTTTTTTTCAGATTCTCACTTTCTTGTCCTGACGTACCCGCCATCCAATCCCCAAACCTCACGACACAATCTGCTTCTAACTTATCCTCTCTCTCTCTCTCTCTTTCGTCTCCTCTTTTTCCCCTTCTTTTTATTTTCTTCTCTACATCCTCAATAAAAAAAGGAACAAACAACAAACGAAAGGGCTGCCCAAAGTGAATAACTACGCAGCCCCGGAGATTCCTAATGCCATCTATTTAGATTCGCATCATGAATACCTAAATCCTAACCGTTCTTTAGACTAAACCTCTCCCGTATATCGCATTTGGGTACGAACCGCAGCCCTCGCCCATTCGTCATCCTTGTTTTCCCCATTTTCGGCCAACCTTTTTTTTGTTACTTGGTCCAAACCATCTTGAACAAGTCAGCAACATCAAGCCTGGTTAGCCAAGCCCGAATTCTAGTGAGCCCTTTGCTCGCTCACAACTTTTTTTTTTTTTTGCTAATGCCCGTGTTGCAACTTAGAAGGACAGCTTGACGACAATAATCCCTTTGGCCGGAATTGGCCATATCGATTTACCCTCCCACCCAATTCATATTTACTCGACCTAACTTATTCGCCATCGCCACAACCCCCGCTGAATTTGCCGTCTCTCTTTTCCTTACCGCCCGAACGCCATGGATCAATGGCAGGGCTATTCCGACGCCGCTGGCGGTTCTCGAAGGTACAACGGTAGCAGTCAAATGAGTTCGAGTAGGGAATATGCTCAGCAGCCTGCTCAAGTCCAGCCTCCGGTTGGTTATAAGTACGATCAGTACCAAGGTGCGATAAACTCGCATGCTCCTCAACAGAGCGTGACCTCGCCTATCACCACCCCGCAGTTACGCGATAACAATGGTGACGTTCCTATGCAGGATGTTCATGACCCTTACGGGAGCATGAAATATCCTATGCGCCCTCACCATCAGTCGCATCTCTCTGGAGGCAGGTCCTCAAATCTCCATTCGCCGTCTGAGCCTTCAGCTGCCGCTCAACGATATTCGCCTATGGAAGTGCTGTCACCAACATCGCCGTATGCATCTAAGTCTGCGACAAATCAGGCTCAGTTTTCTGCGCCCCACACTCAGCGCCAGTCACCTACCCGGGCTGAATACCAGTCTCAGAGCCCTTATTACGGCCGACAAAATCCTCAGCTACCTTCTATTACAACCTATCCCGGTTCACAAGAGAATTATCCCTCGTCTGCAGTTACGCCTCTGGACGGAACCTACGCTAACGACCCAAAATCACCGAGGAGAACGCTGCAGCCCACCTCTAACATGCCTGTCGAGAAGAAGCCCGTGCCCCAGTTTAAGAAGATCGGGGCCGTGACGGATTTGCGACCCAAGGTCAATGCTCAGCCGCCGTTCCGTCGCGCAAACCCCGAGGGGGGTTTTATAAGTGTATGAGACTTACTATCGAGTATTTACCCCCGGGACGTAGATTCTAACCAATTATTTTCTTTTATAGCCTCTCCAAGCCCTCACCGTCCACCTGCCCGCGACGTATCGCATATGCAACCCTAACTTCAAATATGAATCTTCCCGCAATCCCCGTCGGGTGCTGACTAAACCGAGCAAGGGAACTAAGAACGATGGGTACGATAATGAAGATAGCGACTATATTCTATACGTCAATGACATCCTAGGTTCGGAGGAAGCCGGCCACAAGTATGTTTTACCCCAGCCTCTCCTATCGGAAGCATTGCTAATCACTCTCTAGGAATCGATATCTTATCTTAGATGTGCTTGGACAAGGCACCTTCGGTCAGGTTGTCAAGTGCCAGAACTTGAAGACCCAAGAGGTTGTCGCTGTCAAGGTCATCAAAAATAGGACAGCGTATTTTAACCAAAGCATGATGGAGGTGTCCGTCTTAGACTTGGTAAGACCTGCGTCTCAGTTATTTATATCAAGCTTTGCCTTTGCTAATGAGTGACGTAGTTGAACACGAAACTCGACAAGAACGACGATCACCACCTACTACGACTCAAGGACACATTTATCCACCGACAGCATCTTTGCCTAGTATTTGAACTTCTAAGCGTCAATCTGTACGAGCTCATCAAGCAGAACCAATTCCGAGGTCTAAGCACGACACTCGTCCGAGTATTTGCCCAGCAGCTCCTTAATGGTCTCGCCCTGCTCAACAAGGCGCGATTAATACATTGCGATCTCAAACCTGAGAATATCTTACTAAAGAATCTTGAGAGTCCCATTATCAAGATTATCGACTTTGGCTCAGCGTGTGACGAGCGCCAGACGGTATACACGTACATACAGTCGCGATTTTACAGATCACCGGAGGTATTATTAGGTCTTCCCTATTCTTCCGCAATCGACATGTGGTCACTTGGTTGTATTGTGGTCGAACTCTTTTTAGGTCTGCCATTATTCCCGGGTTCGTCCGAATATAACCAAGTCTCGAGAATTGTCGAGATGCTTGGAAATCCCCCCAACTGGATGATTGAGGTCGGTAAACAAGCCGGCGATTTCTTCGAGAAGAGGCAGGATGAATTCGGTCGAAAGACGTACCACCTGAAGAGCATGGAACAATACTCTCGGGAGCGGGGAACGAAGGAACAACCTAGCAAGAAGTACTTCCAAGCCAGTACGCTACCGGAGATTATTAAATCATATCCCATGCCGCGAAAGAACATGAAGCCAAACGAGATCGAACGAGGTACGGAACCCTCTTCCAGCTGGACCAACTGTTGATCATGCTAATCTGTATAATATAGAAATGAACAACCGAATTGCGTTTATTGATTTCGTGCGAGGACTACTGACTATTAGCCCTCTAGAAAGGTGGTCGCCACAACAAGCGAAACTTCACCCCTTCATTACTCAGCAGAAGTTCACAGGTCCTTTTGTACCGCCGATGAACCTGAAGTCGAGCTCCTTGAATCGCTCTCCAGCTCCTGGAACCCAACAGCAGCAGCAAGCTGCCGAGCTTAGCAAGCAAAGAGCGCAACAAGCGCAGGCCCAGGCTCAGGCAGCTGCTCAGGGAGCTTATATCATGCAGAACCCCCAATATCCAGCTGCACAGCATGGACAACCTTCGATGTACCAAAACAATGGCTTGTACACGCCTAGCGGTAGTCATTCAGGGGCACCACCCCCTTATTCCGCCCAGCAGTCGTCCTATGGCCAAATGCCCATGGGCCAAGCTGCGCAAATGGTGCCCGCGAATTACGCTGCTGTACCGCAACCGAACCTATACCAACAAGCTACGGTTCGAGCGGGTCGCCAGCGCGCATCGACAATGGATCAGCAGCAGAGTGGGATCCCCGCAGCGATTCAGAGAGTTGCTAGTCACCTTGATCCAAGTCAACCCATCCGACTGCAACCGAGTCCTGCATACTATCCGCCGCCCGCCGAAGGGATAGGTCTCACAGACCCTGGAGCAGGTAGGGTAGCCGGCAGGAGAGATAGTAGGTCGCAGAGAGGAGCTACAACTAGAAGTAATCGTGACTTCATCCGTAATCTGGAAGAAAGGACACTGGAGGAAGGGTTCATGGGAGGCGGGGGTCAAAGTCCATGGGCTTGAGGGATGCACTATGCGATTTAAGTCTCCCGAGAGCAGAACCACGTATGTCAATCCACGTTGAGGCCATCACAGCCAACCTCAACCTATTGACGAGAATCCAAATTTCTAGGATCAGCTCTCAGTCCTTGCTAGATTGGCAGCAGCGAAATTCCCGGAAGGACTCATCATCCTTCAGATGCTAGTATACCTGTTCCGCGTTAGCTCGCCGGCGCGAACTTTTACAGGCGTGTATGATACCCACAAGAACATAGGGGTGCAACCTAGATTGCCCAAAAAGTCTACTTTTTTTCTTTTTCCTTTTTTTTCTTCGCTGCGCAACTACAGTTGGAGATGATGACATTTCGGCTGCATATAGCATTGGGAGGCTCGACAGATAGGCTCTACTTTGACACAAGGAAATGGATTATCAACGAGAGAATACTTGCTACGACAAGAAGCCCAGGAGAAAAAAGAACCCCCCCCCCAAAAAAAAACTCCCGAGTAGGCTGTGTAGGGAGGAGGAATCGTCTTTGCTTCGCTCGATGTGGTCCGAGGAGGAAGAGGAGGGGGGAGGTCATAGATGAAGAAGCTTAGATCCGGTTCTTGTCCTAGTCATTCTAATACTACGCGGGAGGTAGTTAGGCCTCTAAGTACTCAACGGAATTCTCTCTCTATAACTAGACACTGACACGAGGCCCGACCGCGGTAAACGTGTTAGTTACGTCAGGGGTAGATGAGAATACCGGCTGAGCGATATAGGAAAGTCGGGGGGGAAGGGGGGGTGGATTTATAGTACAAACTCCGAGAGAACAAGGATGGTCGATGGATGGATGAATGGATGGATGGCAAGGGGGGTGGGTGGGGGTGATAACCCAACTTCCTTAGGGGTTCCTTTTTTAATCCTTGTTTTTTCTTCTTCGCTGTGTTCTTCTTCTTCTTCTTCTGAGATTCGGAATGCGAACGAAGCGGATTAGGGATGGTCGGATATGAAACTTGGCTGTTTTTTTTTTTTTTTGCTTTGCCTGTTTTGTGGCCAGGTGCGCTTTGTAGAAGGCGCTCTTATTTGCTTGTATTGTTTGTTCGTGCGTACGTTCAAAATTACGTACTTACCTAGGCTGCTGCGTATGATACCTATGAAATGCATACCTACATATGGGGGTTTCCCACGATGATGGTGATGATGATGGTGACGGTGGTGGTGAGTTGAGTACGAATAAGTTGACTCGTTGGGTGACAGAGTGAATTGTACTATGTACTTATTAGGTTACATAAGTCGGTCGAACTGACTGCGGTAGGGATTGCGATTTGTATGTTGCGTGGTTTACGGAATAGGGGTGCGATAGGAGGATAAGGGGATAGGATAGGGGATGGTTAAAGAAACGTGTAAGTGCCTAAGGTAGGAAGGGGGTGCTATAGTTAGAGTAAGAGTAAGCAATTACAAATTTAAGGACTTACCTTACGATGTTGGCATATACTTCATCTTTATATACCTGGTATCCATACATACATCGACCCGTACAGTTTTATTAATAACGTCCGTCGCATTACTTACGCCTCGGTCAACTTTGTAGGTTAGAGATGTTAGGTAGTTCTTGATGTAAAGCAACACTACGACGAAAGCAAATACCCAGCCAACACTACGAAGGCACCAACGTTAGAATAGAGCCGCCGTGATTTGATTCGTAGCATAAAGTCGTCTCGTTAACACTTGTCTACATAATCCAGCTTATAAGCAGCCTATTACAACAACAATAATAAGAAGTGGTGCTCCGAAACAGCCTCCCGAGCGCCTGAGCCTATTCGTTACCCGGAAAAGGGGGGGTCGACCGTATTAACTAACCACCGCCTTAGAGATATGAATATCTCTTTCTCTGTCTCCTTTTCCCTCGTCGTTCGGATCCAAGGTACTACTACTGTTACTAATGGTGATGATGACATGACGGTGGTGGTGATGGTGGCGGTAATGGTGCAATGCCTAAATCAGCTAGGTAATAATGAATAACCCCAATCCAAAGACGCTTGCTTCTACGTCCTGTCTATATGAGGTACTTCGTTCCAGGATATGCGGTCTCTCTCCGTTCCGTTGTTCGTATCGCCTCCGAGGTATTGCGAGTCTTACGGAGACGTCCATCTCGTTACTCTTTAATGATTGTCTCGTCAAGTGAGTCTAGGTATTCTCTTAGTCGGTTATACTGGCAGTATCGCCCCTCCTCGCGCTCTGCTGCGGAGCTACATCTACTAAAAATCATCGGCCCGCCGTTGCCGGTGTTTGTGGCCAGACGAAGGCTCATTATGATAGGCGCCCTCATAGTAATAATACCTCATAGCACCGTCCGGTTCTGACCCGTGGTCCTACCTCCCGGACCGGAAGTTTCTGCCCCTGCGACTAGTATTGCCGCCGGTGCCGTTAGCTTGGCTTGTGGGAACCATGGTGTCACTGTACAGGCCGCCGCCCGCGTTAGAATAGCCGCTACCGGGCGAATCCGTCTCCATCGGGTCATCAAAACCCATCGATCCATCAACGACAATATTATTGCCGGCTAATCGAGTCTCATGATCACGCTGAGCACGCGGCCCAGTAGGCGGTGCAGGGCGGTAGCCACCAGGCTTTAGGTATACGTGCAGCGTTCTGCCATCGGCCTATTACATTTATTAGTTTACTGGACATGACATACTCTAACTAGCTAGATTCCCGAAGACTTACCGTTTGGTTGTTAAAGGTCTGGATTACTCGGTCTGCACCCTCTTTGCTCTCGAAAACTATCTCGGCTATCACGATAGGATGTGTCTTGATTAGTCGACAACTGCTTATGATCCCACCGACCGGCGTCATGGCGCTCTCTATATCGGCGGCTGTGGTTCCCGGTGCGAAGTTCTGCGCCATGACAGCAAACGGCCCTGCAAGGCCTCGGATGGTAATGCCTTGTACCGGAAACTGTGCGGGTGCCGAATTCACATTGAGATGCTGTTGCGCAGCTCCCGGCGACGACCTAGTACGCTCGTAAGCATTAGCGAGTCGGGATGCACGATTTGACCGTGCGTTTCGCGGGGCATTTCGCGATCGAGGCGGCGCAGTGCCTGGCGCATGGATTCGAGCGGCTAGCGAGTTAGGGTCCTGTTGTCCTCTCGTGCTCTTCTGGGCATTGTGAAGGTCGTGAGTCCATTCGCCGTTGATATCGCCGGCTGGAAAACGCGCGACCGATGATACTCGCTTTGCAAATGGGGTATTTTAGCATGGCATCGTTCAACCGTCTATAACTATTAATATGACGAGAAGCAGTGCCATCATACCTTCTTCACTCCAACTCTGCTTGCGAGAGAACCGGCAGCGGGTGCGCTTGCCCGCCTTTGGTTATCTCTCTTGAAGATACGGGCAGCAAGAGCTTCATTCTTCTTGCGCTCTCGGCCTAGTTAACCCAATTGAGTATTAGTTGATAAGCTCCCCGTTTATATCGATACTATGAATTGACAACTGATGTTCCAAGCCATTTCAACTCTTCGGTAGAGATAGCTTACCAGCGTTGATGATCTTCTCGAACTCGACGGCGTGCTCTTTCGCCATCGTCGTAACTTAGAGATATCGTAAAGCCTTTTACAACGGAATGTGAGATGCGATTAACAAACAGAAATAGGCGGATGTTTTTTTTTTAATTATTTCGCAAAGAAGGGCTATTGCGTTAAAGATTAAAATCGGTATGCTTCTATAAAAAAAAAAGACCGCGGAAGGTAGTTATCTCGTGAGAAATGTTGCGAGTTGGAGGTGATTGATAGAAGGAGGTTGATTGACGGTCGGAAGTGAATTAATTATGCGTCGAGTTGGAATGAACTTTGTCTTTGTAAAAGAGCGCGAACTTGGAGCTTGGTGGCAGGGGTCGGCGCGTCGTTTTCTCATGCGGACAGACCACACGTGCAGGCTTTAATATGTGGGTCATCAATCATCTACTTGCTGCGGCCGTGCGAGATATCTGTGGCTGTGCAGCTGGGGCTTAAAAGAAAAAAAGGTACGTACTCGAAGCGATTAGGGTCAAGCAGCTAAGCCCGCAACCCACACAATCTCTTCTGCATCAAGGGAAAATTATCGGCTCTCTAATTTCGGGTGCCTCTTCCAAATTTCTTCAATTACCCAAACCACCCAAACATCCATTTTCTCTTCAACTTTCACGAATTACGCAAGGTAGACCGTCACCATGGGTCGCGTGGTATGTTTGACACTGCTTTTACGTTAATTGATATTATAGCGACTAATAATATTGGGTAAATAGATTCGTAACCAGAGAAAGGGTAACGGCGGTATCTTTAGTAAGTATTTCGACGCGAAAATAATATAAAAAGAACCCAACATTTTCACCACACACTTGCAATCGATTGCGACCGAATTATTCTTTCTTTCCATTACACGCTATACACGTTCTCCGCTCTCCGCTCTTCGCTCTACGCTCTCTACGAATATTTTCGACTTACCTTTGATTTCTTCTTCTAGCCTCCAACACCCACCTACGCAAGGCCCCGGCCAAGTTTCGATCCCTCGACTACGCTGAGCGACATGGCTACGTACGAGGAGTTATCAAGGATATAATCCACGACCCCGGTCGTGGTGCTCCCCTTGCCCGCGTCGTCTTCCGATCGCCCTACAAGTTCAAGCAGGTCACCGAGACCTTCATCGCCAACGAGGGTATGTACACGGGTCAATTCATCTACGCCGGCAAGAACGCCGCCCTTACCGTCGGAAACGTCCTCCCCCTCTCCTCCATGCCCGAAGGTACCGTTATCTCCAACGTCGAGGAGAAGGTTGGTGACCGAGGCGCTCTCGGCCGTACCTCCGGCAACTACGTCACCGTTGTCGGCCACAACCCCGATGAGGGCAAGACCCGAATCAAGCTCCCGTCCGGTGCCAAGAAGGTTGTCTCCAGCAGCTCTCGAGGAATGATCGGTATCGTTGCCGGTGGTGGCCGAACAGACAAGCCCCTCCTGAAGGCCTCGCGCGCCAAGCATAAGTTCGCCGTCAAGCGAAACTGCTGGCCCAAGACTCGTGGTGTTGCCATGAACCCTGTCGACCATCCTCACGGTGGTGTAAGTAGAATCCGGATCTGTTGTTTTTTTTTTCTTGATACTAACGCAGACTTTGCTCTTTAGGGTAACCATCAACACATCGGTAAAGCCTCTACTATTTCCCGATGGGCGGCGCAAGGTCAAAAGGCGGGTCTCATCGCGGCCAGACGGACGGGTCTGCTGCGTGGTACCCAGAAGACGAAGGAGTAAAAATGGGTTCTCCAGGTCATGGTTCATCACGGCGGTTGGAGTTTTACTTGATTGCACTTTGCATCTCTCTAGGTACTTGGCGAGCTACGATATGAGATAGGCTCAATGGAAGTACCCGGCATCAGATCCTTTCTGCACATATGCATATTATTTTCCAAGTTGTCATCCCTTTCGTGAAATTAGTGAAAGCTGGAGATGGAGAGCTATTACGAAGGATTTGCTGCATTATGTAGGATGATGATAATTAAGTACCTTTAGGTATCAGGTACCTACCTAGGTAAAAGGCATACTTCGTAAAAAACAACAACAACCATATGGTTTAGTGGAGATGCTAGGTATTCCAAAAAGATGAATTCCCGATCCCAAAAAAAAAGAGAGTTGTCTCGCGTGACAATGGTTGACGAATTGGAACCGTATGTTTCGTTGGTAGCGTTTTATGTATCTATAAACAGCCTAATCATATGATGGGGATTAGTGTTGATAAAAGTTGCATACATAAATACTCTAGGTTAGTCAAAATACCTCCTTCTAACCTTATCGTATTTTGTTATTGTTTCCCTACCTAGGTACTTTTTTAAAGTTTATACGTTCTTATTCAACAGATACCTACCTAGAGGTACCTACCTATAATTATTAGTAAGAGCCTAGAGGTTAGGTAGAGGATGTTGTTCCCCACCTGCCTTCCTTCCGGGTTGATCCCTCGGACAATCTCGAAAGCGCTGCGGTCTTATAATAATAACCCCACCAACACCGCCCACGTCGCTTCCTACGCTTGTGCCTGTGCAGGTGTCCCGCTCTGCTATAAAATCTCACCCCGCCAAAATAAGGGTCTTTCTACCTTGACACAACCCCCGAACTTTCCACTTCTATCAACAACCACACCTACCGCCGCACCACGACGACGCTTTAAATCTACAATGGCCGCTAATAAGGAATACGTGCTTCTCGCTTTGGAGAACCCTCTTCTGGGTGAGTTGATTTTAAATTTTAAACAAATTGCGACATTCAATTGGACATTTAAGAGGAGGAGTGAGGGGTGAAGAGTCGAAATCCGAGCTTCGGTCAGCAAATGCACCGGAATAGTGCCTCGAAGCTGGAGGAAGCAATAGTACTACTATTCTAAGAATACTAGACTGTATGAGAAGCTATATGCAGAATATAGCTTCAGCTTTTACCAGAAAAAAAAATCATGACATTGGAAATCCCCTGTGATGCCATGTTTTTTTTTTCTCATCCTGTTCTCACGAATAACTACCCCTACCCCCCTTACTGCCGCTTCGGCCGAGCTTACGCTAACATATGTCGGGGCCGATCTCAGATATCCAGGCCCAAGGTAACGAGGAACTCCTCAAGAAGTACAACCTTAAGGCCAACGATGCGATCCTGGCTTCTCCCGAGCACATTCCTCTCTACGAGGAGCTGCTGAACAACTACGATGCCAAGCTGATTGCTGGCGGTGCCGCCCAGAACACCGCCCGTGGAGCCGCCTACATTCTCCCCCCGAACAGCGTCGTCTACCTTGGTGGTGTTGGTAACGACAAGTATGCCGATATCCTGCGTGATGCTGTCAAGCAGGTCGGCCTGAGGGTTGAATACCGCGTCGACCCCAACACCCCTACCGGCAGGTGCGGTGCCATTATTACTGGCCACAACAGGAGCTTGGTCACTGACCTTGCTGCCGCTAACCTGTACGACATCGACCATCTCAAGAGCCCTAAGATCTGGGAACTCGTCAAGAACGCCGAATTCTACTACGTCGGTGGTTTCCACTTCACCGGTATATAGACCCCTTTTCCCTTCTGTTTGTATAATAAACATACAAGCAGACAGACATATAAATATATATAACACAGACTAACGGACAGCTTCCAGTCTGCCCTCCTGCTATCCAGGCTCTCGGTGAAGAGGCTGCCGCCAACAACAAGACGTTCATCGTAAACATGAGCGCCCCCTTCATTGCCGAGTTCTTCAAGGACCCCCTCGACGCATCGTCTCCTTACTGGGACTACGTGATCTGCAACGAGTCTGAGGCCGCTGCTTACGCCAAATCCCACTCCCTCTCCGTCGCCGAGACCGACGTTGCGGGCATCGCCAAGGCCCTAGCCAACCTGCCCAAGGCCAACACCAAGAAGCCCCGTGTTGCCGTTATCACCCAGGGCACCCAGCCCACCGTCGTCGCTATCCAGGGCCAGGATGAAGTCAAGGAGTTCCCTGTACACGCCATCGACGCTTCCAAGATTACCGACACGAACGGCGCTGGTGATGCTTTCGCCGGTGGTTTCGTGGCTGGTCTCGTCCAGGGCAAATCCCTTGAGGAGAGTGTCGATATGGGCCAGTGGCTCGCACTGCTGAGCATCCAGGAACTGGGACCTTCGTAAGTCACCCATGCCTATTAATTTTCATACTTATCCAACGTCATAACAAAACTAATTGGAATTGTAGATACCCCTTCCCCAAGCAGACCTACCAACCCTCCTCGTAGATCAATTTCCTCCTGAGACGGCAGGGGTAAAGAACCTGCTCATACCAACCAACAACACCCCGGTGGCAACACCAAACAGCTTTGTCGTTACTCAACTTGGCGCAAAGGTCGGCGTTCTCGGGAAGAAAATTAGGATAGGGAAATGGGGTAGGTAGAAAGATCACGATTATTCTTATTATTTTTCAACAGGCGGGGGAGGTCCATTTAACTGCTGCATTTGCAAAAAGCGAAGCGAACTAAAGAAAGAAGGAAAGGATATATGTGGTAAGGAGAAATGCGAGATAGGTTAGGTATCTTCGCCCCCTATTTCTTCTTTTACAAAGGTATCTGCTGGGTTTCAACAACTGGAGGACATCATATTTTCTTGTCTTATCTCTTGTTGTTTCTGTAAATCATCATCATCATCACCACCACCAATGTTCATCAGTGTGGCTCGAAGAGCTGCGTGCTTGGTGGGAGTGGTTGGCAATGTCGATACGTCGATAGTTGCCTTTCGTATATACGCACATAGAACAATCAAAACTATGTCTTACGATCACGGAAGTGATAATACATGCATGCATGAACTTGTGATGGAGTGTGATGTGATGTGATATGTTGCAAGTGGAAAAAAAAGGAGGCATGAAATTTCTAGGTAGGTATTAAAGCTTTCGGGGTATGCCAAATTAATATTTTTGATGTTTTCTAAACGAACTAATTACCTCCCTCACACGACTCATTATCAGCCCTCACGAAACAAACCGAAACAACAATTCGTCACAATTATCCATTTGCTACTCAGGGTTTCCTTCAAATTTTTTTTTTTAAAAAAAACGCCGCTAAGGTCGGAAATCTTCTCCATTAAGCTAATAAGCACCACCGCTGAGGCGAAGGGAACAAGAAAGCTAACTGTGAGACTCGAGACGCGAGACAGAATCCACTGAAACAAGGGGGTGGTGAGGATTCTTATAATCAAACGTGTATGAGATCAAGTAGATTAAGTAAGGCCTTATTTATTATAGCGAGGATTGCATTCATTACCCAACGCAACGCAACGCAACATATTTTCCCTGCTGGCTGAGTGCAAAAGACCGAAGAATAGAAAAAACAGCACACGTAAAGTAACCAAGCAAAAATGGTGGTTGGTATTAATCGAACAAGAAAGAATACGCTGTTGTTGATATGCTACTAGAGCTTCAGGATCTAGAATCTATCAGAATTCCCCTATTTTCGTGATAGATATCTGAGTATAGTATGGAATAGCAAGAGTACTTACCCAGCAAGTGCCGCAATACGGTGATTAGCCCCCCAGACCATCTTCTCTTTTCGAGGGCCTGGTATTGTTCTACCCCTCAAAGTTCTCGGATTCCAACTCTTGCTCATTTCCGTGTAACTCTATTGTGAACATTACAGGAAGTAGTTTGAGTCTTGAGGGGAAATGTGGCATGCTGGGTGAGCTGCGCTGGATCTCAAGCAGATGTAGAAAGATACCGAAACGAATAAAGACGCGTACGAAGAGTACTGAACCCATTATTTTGCTTGCATAATCATCGATAACCATAAAATAGGAGATTGTAACGTTGGCGACGTGAGTTTCTCATGCCAGTCGTCTACCCTTCTTCTCCGTGTCAGGCGTTAGATCCCCCATCCTCAAGCTAGATAACATCCGTTATCTCACTGTTCGTCCACGGTGTCCCCTTTCCACGGCTTTGGGGTCCCGTTACGTTGTGGACAGCATCCTCCGCCGGGGGTATGAAGGGCCACGCACAAGCGACCATCGCAGGTTGTATCACCTACATGATGTATTAATATTGCCGTGTACAACACCGTCGATGCCCCGAGCATTGACTTCTCTGAACCACGCCGCCTTATGACAAAGGCAAACATCAGGAAGAGTATGCATGGATAGTAAATGTCGAACTGACAGAGGCCCTATTACTTAAACGCAAAACTCTTAACCCGCGGTCCAGTCTGCTGTAAATCGGTATCCGGAAACACGGATTCTAAAAAGTAGTCAGGCATGGAAGAGACAATAAGGCTGAGCTATTTCTTTCGTAATGTTTCTTAAGCAATACTCGTGCATTATAGTCCAGTTACATAGTAACAGTGGACATGATAGTATGCCGGTGGAAGCCATCACTTGGGACGCTGTTTCTGACTTTTAAGCGGTGCGGACCCCGAGAGCTGGCGTTTAAAATCGTAAGGCTCATCTTCAGTACCTAAAGCATTCTTAGCTTAATTATAGTGGCGCGTAGGAATATACCTACTGTTGTATCCTGTCCCGAGATGGCCGAAAGGAGTACTGGCATTATAACTGCCGTTAGACAAGGTCATATTAGGGAGACCGGCAGGAGGCACGGCAGGAGTGCCACCATAGAGACTGCTCGGGTGTGAAAAGGCCAAGGTTGAACCGCTTTTCGTAAGTTCTTGAAACCAAGGTGATTGTGGTTGTTGGGCTGGAGTAGGTGGGCCAGGCGCCTTGAATCTGGGAATTGTGCCCTTGGCTCCCACAGGTAAAACTGCGGCTGAGTCAATGCCGGCAGGGCTCGATGCATTCGGGGCGGGGCTGCAAGCATCTTGAAATCCACCATAAGTTCCAAATGGCTTGTTAGACCAGCTTAATCCAGGCGAGCTTTGAGGATTAGACATGGCCGCAAATTGGCTAGCAGAACGTTCCATGGAAGTCGTGCCAATGTTCAGCCCGAGATTGCTTAAATAAGGCGAGCTGGACGCTGGGGGGTATGGAGAACCTGAGGTTCCAGGCGTAGATCCTCGTGGCCCTAAGTAGGGACTAGCAGCCACTCGGTTCGCAAAATTATCCGAAGATGGCATGTCGTTGGGGTCTAACCCATGCTGCGCATACAGAGCGGACGTCAGACTATCAAGGACTGCGTGCCGCGACGCTTCAAGCGAGTCGCGAGAATTTCTACTTTCATGACGATTGAAGGCCGGCGAGGGTGCCATGGGGTTTCCCGGTTTGTCGTAAACCTGAGCTTGCTGTACACTAGTAGCTAGGCCGTTGAGATAAGACGACGGTTCCAGGCTGTCCAGTTGGCCGTGAGCACTCCTAGGTATGTAGTCGCCATCGGGGGGTAATTGGTTATTAGATTGACTGGCAGAACGGTGCGGAGTAGGTTTATAGAAATAACGCCATGGAAGACTAGTAATGGGTTTAGATGCCGGAGAAGGCTGTGCGGAAGAATGCTCAGAATTGGCGCCCAATTGGCCGAAAACTTCGTTTGCCGTAGTGGTATTCATGCCGTAAGTCGTGTCAGCCTGAGTTCGACTCGATTGTGGTCTACTGTCTTCAACGGGATCTAGAAGCTTATTCACCATGTTGACCATTTCACTATCTCCACTCAGATCTGTATCAAGAAGTGAAAACTTAGCTTCGGCCAACTTTCCTTTATCAGGTTGGGGTTGTGGTTCGAGGTCTAAGTCGCCATTATCTTCGCAGGGTTGCTTTGCATTCGCTACAGCGACATCTGGGCTCGAAGACTCGATGTCGTTCCGCACCAAATCCTTTGGCTTGGTTTTCGAGTTGCCAATTCTAAGCTTCTTCAGCATACGTGACAGGATCGCTTCACCCGCGGGAACTTTCTCGGGAGTTTTGTCGGTAAAGTCCCAGCATTCTATATCCCGTCCCTCGTGCTGTCTAAGAGCCAGAATGAGTGGGCAACCTAGGCTCTCGGCCAATAAAACACCACAATACACTATGTCTCTAATACGCCAAACCGCTTCCGTATCAGGCCGGTATTGGCAGCCAGAAGCCCTCTGACGGGGCTTACGAGACTTAGGCTTCTTGGGTGAGCTTGGGCTTAGCAAGTCACCTGGTTGAATAAATAACGGCAGGTTCTCATTTGCAAATGGCCTAAGTCCAAGCGCCTCTGCATCTTCCGGTAGTAGATACCTAGATGTGGCTGTGGCAGCAACTTGATCAGTGATCGCGTTGAGTAGAGTCAGCGTGTCGGCAAGCAGTCCGTACACATCACTGACATATGGCTCCAGAAATTCCCGATACTTGTTGGTATCGGTCTGAGAAACGTAAATCCATGAAATATAGATACGGATAAAAGGAAGAAGCCGCGTTAAGAGCTGGCTAAAGCAGATAGGGCTTTCGGCACTGTCGCCGTTCTCGCCTTGCCCCTGGGAAGATGGAGATGTTGCGGATTCGTTAAGTAGACCCGCCTTAAGGACTCGAAGGAGAACCACAAATGTACGAATATTAAATCGCAGTAGAAATTGGGCAGATTGTGATCCCTGCATTGTCCAAGAAGCTTTTCGTTGTAGGTTGTAGTCAGCATATAGATCATCCCAAAAAATAAGGGATACTCCAGGTAAACTTACCCGTTACCTTCTCTAGAGCGACGTCATACGCTGCGATGTTGATAAAAGTCATTCTGCGTAATATAGCGTCGTCAGGATCAGACTTCACCGCCATCTCTATGCGATGTAAGACTTCCTCTTCTAATTCAGACTGCTGAGAAAACGGCTCTCCTTGGAAGAAATACGCATGTAGTCGGAGGAACCAGGTGACCATGGTTTCATTCGGATCTTTGGGTCCCTTGCGAGCAACAGAAGAATTCTCCAACCCCTTAAATTCTCGTTCAAGGTTTGCAAACCCTAGTTGGTGGGGTTTCGCGATACAAATTGAACGATGGAAGTGGTAGACGATATCAATATGCCGTGCTTGAAGTTGGTATAGTACGGCCAACTGATGGTGGGCAGAGCCATCGTCAGGGTCAACGGCGTTTGCCAGACCGTAATATTCCAAAGCCTTATCGAAGTTCGTACTTGAACTAGAAAGCTTCTCGGTCATCTGGCATCGGTACCTGACTAGGTCACCGAGATGAACCAGAGTGATCTGGCATGATTTTAGAATCATAGCACGAAGCCGAGAAGGAGGAGTTGAATCGGGAGAAGGAATCCTCTCCGGTTCGATATCTGTGCCATGCGCGACTTGGTGAAGCTGCGGGATATAGAATCGTTCAGACAGTCTTTGAATATAAACTCTGTAAAACGATTGGGATGTCCTGAGAAATGCTCGATATTGTTTCTCCAGCTTCCGTCTCACGACAACTTGGTTCTGCGCCAAGAGACGGCTCATTACCTTTCGGTACTCTCCATTAAGAAAGGTATGAGCATGCCACAGAAAGTGCTCGACATTCTTGGTGGCTGCATACTCGAAGTCATGGTTGATAACATTCATACAAGCTAGACGAAATCTGAAGCAGTATTAATATCCTCCGGTAGTAATAATACGATACGGAGGGGGAACTCATACTCGGCCATCGTCTGCTCAACCTCGTCAAAAGCAGAGGTAGTGTTTGTAGTTCCGCGTTCTTTCTTCAGGCTCGATATCTTTGCCATTATATCAGTGCGGATCTTCTGGGCTTCCCTGCCATGGGTTGTTAACCAAAAAATATATATATAAAAAAGCAACTAAAAAAAACTATTCCAAAACTGGCGCATCTAACAAACATAGACATACCCCCAGTTCGCTCTGGCTTTGTCTCGCGGGCTCTCCATTGTGAAGGAAGACGGCATACGATCGTTATGTATATGCGATGTCGAGGTGTGTTATAATAGTAGTATTAAGTCGCCGTCGCCCTGGGGCGCGGGGTTTGGATGTGACTGGGAAACTGTTGCGACAGCTCACAGCCGAGAAACAGGATCACACGAACTCGAACCGGGCATGAGAATGCGGTGGATATCCATAATTCGAAGCGTGCGACGGGAGGCAATTAAGGCGCGCCGTACAGGATTGGGCAAAGATAGCTTTCTCGGAGTACGATATCGCGTACATTGGCGGTTAGTTGTTCGAAAGAAGGGATGCCTCGTAGAAGAGATGCCCAGTACTAAGAATTAGACGATCCAAATAGCTAGAAAAAGAATAAAGCTTAGAAACCGTAGGCGCAGACAGAAGCACTTGGGAAAATACTACGTCTGCGGCTAGGAACAAACAGCGTCGTATAGACCAACCCACGGAGGTCTATGGGAAAAGAGCAAAGAAAAAAAAACAGAAACCTTTGGTAAGGTTAAGGGGAGAGGCGTAAAGGTGAGGAATGAAAATGAATAAATGAATGGAGGGTGAGGCGACTGGATGGGCTCATAAAGTTGTAATGAGGTAGGTAGATGGTAAAAATGCTGGGACGGGGTCGGCGCACGCCAATGATGTGCTAAAATCTGCGAGCCTGCCCAAGGACTGGTTGTAGACTTGTAGTACAGGCAGGGCTACCCAGCAAATATTGAACCTTAAAAAATGTTTCCCAGAATATTTCAAGTCCAGCAAAAGTTAAAGTAAAGTACCTAGGTACTTATTGTACAATACAATATCTTTTTAGGTACAACACACTACCCAACTAGGTGCCTACCTCACTACCTATACACGGACCCTTCATTGCTAACCCCGGGTTAGTTTAGGGGTCCTTTTTTTTGGCACTTTTATACAAGGTTTCATACCTAGCTACCTAAGGTACATGTATATAAGGTATTATGTTATGTATGCTTGCAGCTACCGAGCTTGGGATTCACACGACGTAAACTCCATGCGGCAGATCAATCAGATCAATCAGATCAATCTTTTTTTTCTCTTCCAGTTCTGAAATTCCCACTTGGCATTTTACGGAATCGACGAGTTGCAGTTAGAAACCCCACTGACCGCCTCCGTCGAGAATGGTCCAACTCTTTTTCCCCATTGTCCACATCCAACATTCGTCACCAAACTTTGTGACTTGTTAACTAGCTGGGCTTTTAATAATCTTATGTGCTGATTTGAAGTTTATGGCTTTGTTTATGTCTTTTGCTACGAGTATCTAAGTTCTTACCGTTGCTATTTTAATCACATTGCACTGTAAGAGTTAGAGCTATTCAAACCGTCGAGTTCTTTGGATGTACAGTACAGTTGCTTTCATGACCCCACCAAGTTACTTTGTTACTTACACAGACTTGACCTCATCTTCAAGACCGTCGACGACCAAGCAAGCGAAGACCCGATATTTTTATCTGCTACCAAATCCAAATTTCTTGGATACCTAAAGTAACTAGGAACTATATCTATTAATGTAAATCTACCCCAATCTTTTCCAAATAACGTCTGCAAAAGCAAACATGAAGCGCTCACGCGAGCCTGAAGAAGACGAACAAGTATCGTCGCCGGAACCCGAAGCTAGCTCAGGGAAGATATCGAACAGCGCAAGTCCAAGGGAAGTAGAAAGGCTCCCGCCGGCGAAAATCACAGAGCTTGACGAATCAGCCGTTGACGACGCCGACGACGAAAACGGTACCTTCATCATGAAATGCTCTCTGCCCCCTCATCGAGATGTGCTATCGTTCAGGACGTATACGGAGTATGAGGCACACCACAACAGGACGCATACGAACCGATGCGTAGAATGCGGGAAGAACTTCCCGTCCGAGCACCTACTAAACGTGCACATCGAAGAGTGGCACGATGCTTTTGCCGCCGTGAAACGAGAGAAGGGCGAGCACACGGTAAGACTGCTCGAGGATATTAAACTTCGCTGAACTAAAGATGAAACTAACGATTTATATAGTACTCTTGTTTTGTTGAGGGCTGTGATCGGAAATGCAGAACCCCTCAGAAGAGACGGAACCATCTCATCGACAAGCATATGTACCCGAAAAACTACTTCTTCGCTGTTACCAGGGACGGTGTGGATGGAAGACAATCACTACTAATCGAAAGCGGGCATCGTCGACGCAGATCTTCTACAACAACCAACGGTAGCGGTCCAAAAACAGCAGGAAGAAGACAGAGTCTCCGGCAAACGGAAACGCCTAATTCAGGGGCCCAAGAGTCACAGGCGGAAGTACCAAAGGCGGCCCCCCCTCCAGCTGAGGCCCCAGACACAGAAATGGAAGACCTAGCTGGTGCTATGTCGGCACTGCGGTTCATCCCTACAAGCATCCGCTTTGGCCACAGAAGAGGAATAGCAGGCTTCGCAAGACAGTAATGTGACAAACGAGGACGAGAACGAGAACGATAAACGAAGACATGACAATGACGAGATGACGAGTATAAATCTCAGCAGTAGCATTGCATACGAATGATATTACAGCCCAATCGTGATGATGCCTTCTGAATTTGAGCCCTTTTATAAGCCTACTCCATTATCTTCCCTAGAAGTTCGTGATATCGTGCAGTTTGAAACGGATTCGCCCGTACTCCCAAATAGGTATTATAGTGATGCCGGAAACCAGTATGTTTATATATGTCAAATGAACCCTAACGCCCGTTATGCCACAAAAGCCCAAACCCAGTTGCGTGAAAACTCTTTACTAAACAAAGACCCGTCATACGTAGAAACTAATCGCTCGAAGCGCAACCTCTACACCCGCAGCTGACGCATTGGACGTCCTGCTCGTCCTTCAGCTGGGCTTTGGGCACTCGGCAGACGCACGTCGACTGGAAGTTGGTCTCCTTGGTCTGGATGCAGCGAAGGCAGCACAACTAAGACAATCCCCAGAATTAGCAACGGATCCCTACTTGTAAAAAAAGAAAAGAAAAGTGATGCACATGTACATACCTTCTCGTAGCCCTGCTTCTTCCACTTGGCGATGAGCATGGGGTCGGCGTAGCCGTTCTTGAGCAGCCAGTCGTAGAGCTGCTTGGAGATGGCCTCCTTCTCGTAGTAGAGCTCGTAGACGTAGCGGCTGCGCTGGTGGGCGATTTGGAAGATGGGCCACTGCGCCTGGTGCTTGGGCACGTTCTGCGTCGGCGTGTTCTGCGCGTCCTTCATCTTGATGCCGAAGATCTCCAGGTCGTCCCGGATGTCCTCGAACCCGGCGGGCGGCTTCTTGGATCGCGACGAGCCCAGCGATCGGATTGGCGGCATTGTTGTTGCTGTTGTTGTGATGATAGTGGTAATAACCGTGTCGAAACTAAGCGTCGAAAATAAGGGCTTTCGGAGAAATCGAGTCGCTCGATAAAATGCCGGATTGCTGACTTTTGGGAAGAGTAAACAACTTGGACAGGGTGGTGGGGCAAGGCTGAGAATTATATGTACAAAGAACGAAGCCTTCCGAGTTGGAGGCGATGTTGACTCTAAAATTGTACGGGTTAGCTAATGCAAGATGACTAAGAGGAAATGACCAGGTACACCGAGACATGATGTATCAATGTTTAGTCGGTTAGTGTGGCTTGTGTGGCTAATGCAGCCCAACTTCCCAAGGCTCAGTTCAATGTTCCCACCTTCGCTTTCAGCAACAATTGAGATTGAAGCTAAGAAGCTAAGAAGTATCGGATGAACCTCAAACGCTACCGTCAAGGAGCATTACCTCACCTATCATGGCGGTGACACCCACACAATTCGCGCGAACGACGCGGACGTGTTAGTATACACCTTACAGCTAGCAACCCTTCTTGTTTCCCTTCCTTATATTGCTTCGCTTTGCTTTGCTAATATCGTCTACTGTATAGCGGCCAATTGGAGCGACGCAAAGCGACGAGTCCTGGCGGCTTATCGGGAATGGATACGAGCGGTACGGCCCTTTGCCCCCAGCCCCGGAGCGAACGAATAATTGCTGGAATGGGACGCCTGTTGTCGTTTGTTTCTTTACGAGAGGGGGAGGAAAGAAAGCTTATGCAAGTTATGATTCTCTAGGCACCTGAAATCCAGACCATGTACTCGATCCCCTTCCCGGTCTCCGTCATCCGCACGCAAATGCGACAGGAGTTCGAGCGCCACAGATACGTCAACAAGCTACCGGTGATCGATGTGCTCCTCGTGAAGAACAACGCCGAATATCAGGTCAGTAGTGCACAGACGGTTATGAAATGCCGACTTGTCCCGGATAATAGAAGGGTGTGCGATATGTTCGTTTGTATGGAGCATTACTGAATAAGATATATGTATACGACAGGAAACCATGAACTACTGGAAGCAGACTACGCACGTCATGTCTTACTTCCCCAGCGAACATTTCCGAGGGGCCAACAGATTGCCGAACAACTTCATGCAGAGTTTCTTAGAGGCAAGTCAAGTCTCTCTCTCTCTCTGTTTACGACACCGCTAGTAAAAGAGAAGAAGAAAAAGAGAGAAATCTCGCCGCTAACAGTGCCTCAGGGTCGCAACTAGATATGGGGTATCGTCCCGCTGTATTGTACATAGCAAGACCCGAAAAAAATCAAGATCCTAGACCTAAGAAAGTTGTTTATCTATCATACGTACTCCGGACGCCGCAAATGCCATTCTTCTTCTTCTCTCTCTCTCCATGATGTCTCCCGAGATATTCTTTTAACTAGCCTGTGCTGCCTGTCTTCTTCGCTCTGCTTCTTCCCGCCTCTTGCGAGCCTGCTCCGGCGTTGCTTCGAACTTCTCCCGCTCCGTCCAGAACTCATCGGCAACGACGTCGCAGAGATCCTCTAGGTCCTGGAGGCCCTTAGCGAGCGCGGCGGCGGCGGTTGTCGTGTCTGCAAGCAAGTCAGTATTAAACACAGGGAAGGTGATACGGATGGTAAGGCAGGTATCTCTCACCGTATGTTTGGATTCTCAGGTTCATCTTGTCTTCGGAGGGATGGGGGATGGCGTACGCGCAGAACTCGACGTCCGGGCTATGATTATTACATCTAGTTAGTTGCTTTGCGCCCGCAAGAAAAAGAATTTCGAAACGCACTTCTTCATAATTATATATCGCAGAGCATTGCCGAGCGTGTGGCCCTCCTTCAGGAATTCGAACGAAGCGGCCGTCTCAGACGATCCAGGTAGCTGTATCCCAACATTCCGTTAGTAACTTTTGTCCGCTCCAGTGCACACTATGCGATGATACCCAGACGCACAATTCTAACTCGCTGCGGTTCCTCTTCCTCCTCAAACGGGTCCTCTTCGCCTTCCGATCCATCCTCCTGCATAGCATCGCCATTCTCCTCTTCCGCAGGCTGTTGCGCTGAGGTGGGAGCGTCCTCCATAGAGGCGTCTACCTCCTCGGGCGCATCGTCGCGAGTCTTCGTTCTTCCGGGCATAGTGTGCGGTGCGATGCAATACAAAACCTGCAGCGGTTGGTATTTACGGTAAACGTCCAAGGGGAAAAAAAGTAACAGTGACGGTTCACGACTTATATCGGCTTATTCGCAACTTTACTGGCGAAGGTGTATGTACTCCAACAAGAATTTCGGTGGGGTCTGCGATTGGTCAAGCTCTAACGATAAAATTTAAGGTTAGCTGCCGTAGAACGGACATGATTGGCTGGTCGAAAATACTGAGGTCCGATGATTTTCCGCGCCGCCGCTATTTCTGGGCAGGTCCCGTCATTGGATTGACTCCATAAACTTCACCTGCATAGGAGGTACCTAGTTCCTTCATCCCCCCCCTTTGCGATTCAAGGTAGATATACATGATACATGTAGTCACAAGCACGAAAGTATTATTTTACTGGCCACTTATTCTCTGATCTAAAGAAGCATGTAGGTATAGTGACAGTCAGTTGATGCAGCCAGTTCTTAAATATTAGAATTAGCGTTTATAATCTATTCTGCTCTTATTCCTTATTAGCACAACAGCCTTATATGGTCAGCGCTAATCCCAAACACCGACGCCCAACAGCTTATGTCGAGCCCCGCGCAAGTGTGATCATGACAGAGATTTGAATCCTTACGGATGACCTCTTGAGTTAGATTTGTTGCCCATTTCCCAAACGCCATCGGATTAGCGCGTTCCGGGGTTCGTTCCGGGGTTTCTTCCGGTCTCTGGAATACCTAGACATGGAGGGATTCGTGCTGGTAACATAAAGGAGGCGTGTTTAGCCTCTCCTGTGTTAGCGCAGATAAAGAACAGCCGCTCCAGGTTTGTGAACTTTGAAGTGCCCTTTGATGTACTTCACCAATTGCCCGATCCTCACTTCGAGGTCTATCCTTTGGTAATAGCAAATGTATATCATAAGCGCTTCGTTTCCCGATGGCGATATGACGGGCGCAGGCTAGGTCTTCCGGGTGGGCTTGGCAGACGAAAGCTTCGAGCCAATCCTCGGGGTCCTCGTACGGGTACCCCGTAACAGCACGCAAACTCCTGCCCAAAGTAGAGAATATATCTCTTGAAGGATCCATATACGCTCGAACATCAAAGAATGGTTCATATCGCTTCATAGCCTCTTCTCGCGACTCTCTGCATATGTGCAGATTGGTGGGAGTACTACATAGGTACGCATTTACCGTAAGGGTTCACGGTGGCGGCGAGAGTTAGCAGGCGTTCGGGAGGTGTCAGGAATTTAGGTTGGATATTCAAAATACGTGGTTCCGGCAAGTTGTATTCCCATATCATCAGCCGCACTTCAATGGGCAGCTCAGGGAAATGATGCTAGAGTTAGTTTATTAGGCAATGTTCATATATGGGTACTTGATCATCTTAAATATACTCACAAAGACTTGGAGGTTATCCGGGCTTGTCATCTTCGTGTCATAAGAGGTAGCCATCGGAATCCCGTATCTAATGGAAGAGTCGTAATGTCTCGCACTTGGGTGATGAATATAGATTCCGAAGTGATAGTTAACGTGGCTGCGTGGAGGCTGAGTTGACTAAGCGGGAGAAGTGTATAAGTTGAAAAGTTACCTGCCTGCAGGACAAACGACATAAGACTTCTTATATGTTATGTTATGTAGGTATCTGATATATAATGCCTAGCTTCGTTGCTTTATAAGTTTGTGCCTCAAGGGGGAACAAAAGCTCTAATGAAGCAAATAGCTCTGCGTTCTTTTAGGTCTAAGGTCTGAAAGCCTAGCATTCAATTCTTCTCAGAAAGGCGTTATAGTGTACTGTATATTGTAAAACATGGAATCCAACCATTATGTTTTCTATTCATGTAATTATTTAGATCTTCGCGATAGAGTAATCTAAAAGTCTTGTTCCTGAGTTTAAATTCTTTCGAATTTAGATTTTTGTGCTGAGATCGGCTTAAAGACAAATTTAGTGGAACTAAGAAAGATCCACCAGACCCGACAATTTGGATACGCACGGCAGCTTGAAGCTTATTTCAAACACGGAAGACAAAACTTATCTCTCCTCCATATAAATAATGGATTTGTAAACTTTATAAAGCTATAAGGCATAATCAATTAAGTTTATTTTTCCTCTCTTTAAAAGAATTAAACATGAACACATACTTACAAGCAAACGCCATATGACATTGATGAGAGCCTATGACGCATATGGCCAAGTTACATGGTAAGAAAAGTACAGCTTCAAAGTTGTTATGAGTACCTATCAACTTACGCCACAGATCTCGGGTTATAATTCCAGTCTGACAAGCTACCGTTAATAGTTGTAGCGCGCTGTTTCATATATAATGCTTCTGCATGTAAGTGGGATACTTAGCAGGATTTGAGATTTGAGAGTAACAATATCTGTGAATAACCCGAGGTAAATACCTGTCGGCTAAAGGAAGTTGGAGTAATTACTACGAGCAAGCATCCTATCGTCGTTACGATAAAGGAAAGCAGGACGACGGCGCAGAAGTCTATAGATCCTTCCGAGCACTCGAGCCCCTCATCTCCACAGAACACACGCTTCCCTCCGAACGTCGTGCATTGGTCCGGTTAGAAGTCCGGCCGTACCAGAGACCATCTCATAGCAGATAATAATTATCATAAGCGCAGCACTTGAAGAGAGTTCACGTCTTCCAGCCGATTTTCTTCTAGACCTAGGGAACATTCCGCAGGGATGAATTCCCGTGGTGGTAACCAACGGTGGCATAACATTGGCGCTAGACCTTGTGATTGGCTGCACCGTTGCCGGACCTCCACTTCCCCGGGCTTGTAAGCGCCTGCTTGGGTCTAAATTTGGGTGCCTCCGGGCCAATCTACGATGGCCTTAACCCAGACATGCCTTTCTTCAGATCAATCACACGCGTCTAACGTGTGCGCGAGCGCATCGCCCTTTGCGATTAATCTCGCAAGTAGGACTAGACATGTATGAAGGTATCACCCGGAGTACTATCCTTAGCATTGCGCATGCCACAAGCGCTCGTTGGGTCCACGAGGGGTCCACGAGACAAGGTCTAGACGGGATGGCTTCAAGACCATGGTCGGATAGCTGAAAGCGTATAATCATTCATATTCGTCGCATTTCGCCCTTTCTGTCAGGTCTGTCAAGTTGTCTCTTCCTGACATCTTATCGAAGTTGCTCGTCTTCGGACTATCCATTTCCTTTTTGGTCGCTTGTTTTCTTTTCTGTATCTTTGTTTCGCTTCGTTGGATTATATTTCTTGTTTCATCTAGGTAGTCAACATTCTGTGAAGGTTGACAAGATTGATAATCACTTACATTTCCTCATTCTCTTTATCTCTCTCCTTCTCAACCCCCACTATCGTCGCCATGTCTTCCGATAACAAGGGTCGCACCCCCACGTCTTATTCAGATATGGATTCCCAAGATCATCAGTACCAGAGCCATATGAAAAAGCTTCGCCTAGTTGATAACGCGAGCGTTGGTCTCACCGGACTTGCCCTTCTTTGTGGTGTGACTATCCTCGGAACTGCTGCCGATACCCTAGCTGTCTATAACGCTACTCATCTCCCGAGCGATTTCCACTTACCGTTATGGCCCGATCACTTCGATCTACGACCCACAGTAGCTCTCGTCGTTGGCAGCACCATTGTGGTCGTTGCCAATATTGTATCTCTACTATGTAGCAAAGTCAAGGTGGTAAGTGTGGATTCGTTCATTTGTAGATCCCCTTCATTGCAATATTGTGTTCGTGCTAACAACCTTCAAGCTTCAAAACCAGACCTCAATTCACACGCCTGTTGCTTTTGCCGTACCATTTGTTGGCTTTACAGCTGTCATGATCAGCATGATATTCTTCTATGCTGTCAACGCATCAGCCACAAATGATACGCTACAGAGCTGGAGTTGCCAGTGGGGATTTGCGAGTACGGGCGCGAAGCCGCAGTTTGGCACTCTATGTAGCGAAAGCCGAACAGCCCTGTACCTATCTGTTATATTGGTTCCTATCGAGTTGATCGTCTTTACCGTGGCTGGCTATCAGTCGGTTTTGGAACGGAAGGCGCTCAGTTTCATTCCGTCTCACAAGGCCGGTAGTCCTGTACCATCAGCATGAGACACTAACAAGCAAGGAGAGGACCGGGCTAGCTCTCGACCTGCACGTAGCCGCGGGCTAATGCCATGCAATATGGCGATGATCCATGCAAAGTTGTCGGGGCCCGGCCACGATGAGAAATAATGTGCGCAGGCAAAATCGCTTATACGAAACAACAAGTACAGAAAGCAATGGTGGTAATCTGTATAACAGCTGTAATAGGTCATCGTTGGAAAGTGGCGATGCAATTAACACTATCTGAATTGACGCTGCGGGTTGACGTTCTAGGTCGCTTTTCCTTATATATTGGGAGCGGACTGATTGGTGTGATATCTCGGTTCTCGGTAGGCTACAATAAGAATTAATTCGGATTTGCCCGCTGCCAACTTGAGTACGTAGCAAGGTGACAAAAAAGAGTCTCGGATATGCAAGCGATAGATTAATACGGTCATCATGTGGGCGGACGGAATGCTGCGGCTCTAGCTCTGTAACGTGTTTGTTTGCGATAAGACTCCAACTATAGACGACCCAACCATCAACTTATATAGATGGACATTGGACATCGTCATCCTTCCGTGGGGTTTGAGGGGTTCGAGGGGTTCGAAGTCATAGATCGTATTAATCTCCACTTGGAAAGCCTTCCACCAAGGAATCCTCTCGTCCACTGGATGCAATGTCGCTTTCCTAATTGCTATGGCAGTATGGATATCTTAATGGATAAACGGATGCAAGCGACCAGAACCGGTATCAGAGTTGCACGAGGAGATGTTGTGCACCCATTAGTACCTTAGGTAGGTATCGATTGTAGCTGTCCATGTCCTACCTAGATCCAGCCTGTCGTGTGCACCGTGTTACGATGGTCTGATAAGAGCTCAGATGAAAATATCGCGATAGTAGTAAATGGGAGTTTTAAAGATCGAGATCGGTAGGAGAAGAAGATGAAGAGAATATAAAATGCCGATCGTCTATTAAAAAAATGTATTAGTTAATGACAGATGTAAACCGTACCTAACTTGGATATCTACCTAGGTATGTAGGTAGCCTAAAACATGTATTATACAAGATATGTACAGGATATACATAATTAATACAGGTAGAATATTGAATGTAGGTAAGCAATGTTGGTGTAATGTTGGTGCATATCAGCATACCAGCATAACCTACCTGGTAGTTAGCAGGGAGGTGCCACTGATTTGACTTGCCTGGTACCTGCCTCATGCATTCTGACGAAAGCCCTGCCTTTCACCTGCTTTTGGGTAACCTCCCCTTAAGTAACCTTCCAAAAGTTCTGTACACTTTTTTCTGCAAACTTTCCTGCAAACAACCTCCATTAGGTTACTTCATTGGATTAATCCCATGTTGTTCCGTCGGAGTTCCAAAGGTTCTTGTGTGCCACTAGAGCTTCAATTCGGCCGAACCAACTTAAACTAATAATTCATGAATCTGAACTCTTTTAAGGCATCCACCACACCAACTCATGATAAAAATAGGATCTAACCTTAGGTAGTTGGAACTTGGGAGCCACCCACCCATTTTTTTTTCATACCATATCGCAGTACTCCAACGCTTACAGTCTACTTACGAGAGGGAAGATAAGAAGACCCAGACCGGTATCCCCTTCCCCAAAAAGGGAGAACCATCCCCACGTCTTGTACAGCTCAGCGTCCAATACGAACATTCGCCCGCGCTAGGTCGATGCAAGACAAACTGCCCTACAAGCTGACAGGATAGTTATCCTAACTAGGGGACCTAGATTCACCTATAAGATACCACGTTTGGCAACACACAAGACAAGACTCCAACGCTTGTCCAACAATGGTTCGACCAGATTCTTTACCAGCTAGGCTACCTCGTATAAACCCGCCCTCTACGGGTAATAATTATTCTCCAGCTGCCCCCAATGCTTCTTCTACGCAGCGAAGACCCCATTCTTCACGTTCTTCGAGAACACATATAGTTGAAGGTAACAAAATGATGCGCAATATCGATCGGCCCCCACCCGGCGACCCAACCGGCAGCCGCAGGTCTCAAGTACATCCAGAGCTCAGCAAGAAACGAAGCGCCTATTTCGAGAGTGAATTCGCAGCAGCTAATCGGGATACGGATCCGGTCAGGGCTCGAATACAAAATGAAGCAATTGTAATGGCAGACCTGAGGACAAACGTTATTGTAGGTTTTTATACCTACCTTACATCTCTACTAACGCAACATACCTATACTAATACAGACCGATAGATCAAGGATGAATTCTCTTTTATAACCGATCTCTCATACAACCTATCCAACAGATATCAGAGACCAATATCTTCGATCGTCATCAACTTAAACCATGGCTGCTGTATGATGTTTGGTGGTTCTTTCGACCCAGCGTACACCTTAACCATTCACGCGCTTGCATGTTTAGTGCAGCCTACCACGAATAAGAGAAATGCAGCGCTCATTCAGAAGCATATTCAAGAAACCCTAGGTGTCATAGCGTCGAGGGGCTATGTACGCTTCGTCGCCACCCCCGAGGAGAATGTTTCCGTCGGGGGTAGGACAATCGCCGCTGAAATAAATGAATCTGGTAGTGCCGTGGCTGATGACAAGCCCGCCGAGACCAGAAAAAGTACCAAGTCAAGTCGGAGGATTGGCGTTAAGGTAGTTATCCCGTTTTTCCCTTCTTGGCCACGGAACGCAGGGCCGGCTTCTATGATGGATGTATAACTAACATATTTGTAGTCATTTGGGGGATTCAGATCTGCCTCTATGACTGATCTTGCGAGGGTCCCTACGCCACCATCGAGTACATCAGACGAAACTACACCTATCACGACGATTCCGGAAGTGCCTCCCACGCCGCCTGAGGATGACACGTTGGGCGAATTAATGGAGCAAAAACCGATCAAGACGGCACCACGTCGTAGAAGTCTAAGATTTGGACTGTTTAGTGGGAAGACAACCGTGTAATGAGGTAACAGTCGCACGTGCTTATCACTGTCGTGTGACACCAACCCTTTTTTGGCGGAGATGGCCTCACCACCTCGATTGGGACGACAGGTTGAATATTCTAGTTTCACTGCAACCTTCACAATGTGACGATATCCAATACGGACCGGGAGCGCATTGCATCGTATCGCTTTGGGGGAAGCGTTGCACCGGACTTTAGGAGGGAGAAGCGAGGATGCTATATCGTGGGGTATGATGTTATTACTATGTCGTATGCTAGCGTGATGCATTGCGACCGGCGTATGAATTAATAAGAAGCAAGTTGTGATAAGCTAATCAATCCCAAGAGTCGATACATAGTCGATGGTCTAATGAGGAGGATATCCCGCAGGAAAACATACCTTATACATACCTACCGAATGAATTTATTTTCATCGAACTTTTATATTGATTAAAGATGAGGCTAAAGACCTGTGTTTGTTTGTATGATGCATTCGCTCCCTCACATGTATGAGTGAGTGAAAGGAAGCGAGAAGTCGCAGAAGAAGAAAAGAGTGCCAGGTACCTAATGAAATGAAAATGAGCTGAGCTCAGGTGGGCTGGTGGGCCGTTATATCTTGTTTCGCCAGCTGTAATCTGAAGGACTGCGTCAGCTGATAAGTCGTCAGTATAAATTTTGCCAGCTGGTAACAACTTCGTCCCCATTCTCGCTCAACTCCACATTATGCTTTTCTCTGGCAGTCTGGCTAGGTACTAACCTAATCAATCCCTCCTTCACGCTCGATACCACTATTATTCCCACCCAGAGCGAATTACATATTGAGAATACCTTAAACATAAGTCTCATATCTTAAGCCCCGGCAGGGAATTACTTCCACATGTATGAATGAGTTTTTTTTTTTTAGCTCACAGAGCTTTCAAATTACCTATTTAATGTTAATTCAACGCAGAACAACATTCCCAAAGTTCAAGCTCAATTCATTTTGAAATTGCAGCTATTCCTTCGGAAGCCATCGACGACGGCGCAAGAGAGGTAGCTGAATAGAATAAGTATCCTTAAGCCTGGCATCTCCCGGTCTACCGAAACATCCTGCCGACGCTGTGCACAGCCGTGTTGCCTTGTCCATTCTCGTTCGCTATTTATTGCAACCAGTAAAGAGCCAAGTAGAGAGGGCCAGTGCTACATAAAACCATCATTAGCGGTGCAACTATCAAGGTGAGTCAGCCTGTGCCGACCTGTGCCAACCTGTTGGTTTACGTTGATTTAATACCTGGGCAAGTCTATTCGCCGCTATATAGAAGCTGACTCAGAGTTCATCATTATAGGCTATAGAGAAGTCCAAAGCAGCAGTACGCACGGGTCATCTCTTTCTACATCTCTTGTCCATGTCGCCGGGGAAGAGGGGAGGTTAGGGTTACTGTGCGTTCCACTACCCAGGCTACCCAGGCTACCCAGGCTACCCAAGCTACCCAAGCTACCCAAGCTACCCAAGCGTAACAGCTTTAGATCCCGGCATCTTATCTAGTTTCGCTATCATCATGGAGGTGAGACATTGTCTTTTCTTTTTCTTCATCCCTTTCCTTTTCCCTGGCTATTATTTCCTTTCTTACGAATTACGAATTACGAATTAAAACAACATCCGAGTTGGTATTGCCTAGTGGCACGGGAACACCGCCCTGTATCATCGCCGACTTTCTTTATTTTATTGTATTTTATTTTATTTATTTTTTTTTTTTTTGGAGCAAAGTCATCGATCCGTCCACCGATATCCGTAATCAGTCAGAGACATCCTCTGCCATCATATTCTCACATTCTCATTCCTCTCTTCTTACCATGCCGCCCCTGACGCGCAGTCACGATGTGCGGTGGTCATACCCGGTCCCATATATAAATTACCGCTGTTGTTATTTTTGTCGTTCGTTAGGCAGACGTCAGGCATAAAGCCGGGTTTGCGGACAGGGAGATTATTATGACCTGATTACCACTTATCCGAGCTCTACGAGCGGAATCCCCGAGGTGTTTAATTTGTACCACGGTGAGATCAGCAATGAAATCATCTCGCTCTTTTATAGATTATCAGGAGCGACATGCCCTGTTTCGATCGAGCTGAACGTCCCGGGTCCGTGATCTTTTTCCCGTTATGAAAGTTGACGTATCCCCTGGTCGAAGCTGCCTATATGCAGCCACCCAGCCGTCGCTGTGCTTTTATTTTTTACGACCTTGCTTTCCTATTCCCTTGGATTCGGTAGCCTCGTTTGCAGAATGGGTCGTACATCGCCTTGAAACAACACATCGACAAACAACGAGCAATGAGCGTCTGCCTATTCAAAACTTTGAGATTCACTGGTGATAGTCGCCTTCTTCGTGTTATTCAGCAGAGATGTACTTGAGAAATACACTATATCCGTACGAGGAGCGCGTCCACTCCAACCAGCTCGACCCTTGATGTATTCAAGCTCTTGTTCTTCGCTTATAGGCGCTACTCCACATCTCTTCATTTCTCCTTGACTCTTTTTGCTATACGTTATGTCTTCTCGGCTTCGTGGTTTAGACGCGTTCGATCCCGAGGGTGCCGGGGAACAACCATGCGGGACATCGTCCAGTCTTGCACAGCAGGCTCTAACACGTGTGTATGAACAGGACCAGAGACTACGAAAAAATGGACCAAGGGTTTCCGATCAGCCCCCAGATCTGTCATCGAAAGGGAAACCTAGGTTGCTCCTCATGGGGCAGAGAAGGTAGGTTATAGTGGATTCGATGTGTGAGGACGAGGCTGATTCCACTTCAGGAGTGGTAAATCGTCAATATCGAGCGTGGTTTTCCACAAATTACCCCCGAGCGAGACTTTATTCCTAGAATCAACCGCACGTATCCAAAAAGATACTATGCCGTAAGACGTTATTTACTAAACGCACATGATAACCCTTTCTAACATAGCTCTATAGATCTTTCATGGATTTCCAAGTATGGGATTTTCCGGGTCAGATCGATATCTTCGATAATCCAACTTTTGACATCGATGCCATGTTTGGCGAGATAGGTGCCTTAATTTGGGTTATAGACGCCCAAGACGATTATCTGGAGGCAGTAGCCCGTTTGAACGTGACTATACTCAACCTCCAACGGACGTATCCTAACATTAAGATCGAGGTGTTCATCCACAAAGTAGACGGATTATCAGACGACTATAAGTTGGATATCCAACGAGATATTACTATCCGAATCCAAGACGAACTGTGCGATCACGGGTTTGAGAACGCGCCAGTCACTTTTCACTTAACTAGCATATACAATCATAGCATTTTCGAAGCGTTTAGCAAGGTGATTCAGAAGCTTATTCCTCGGCTTGGTATACTCGAGGCGATGCTTACTAACCTATGTCGAACCTGTCGCTTCGAAAAAGCATACCTATTTGACGTCTTGTCCAAGATATATATTGCAACCGACAGTGAGCCCGCAGACATGGCAAGCTACGAGATTTGCTCCGACTATATCGACGTCATAATAGACGTTACAGAGGTATACGGAAGTTGGCCCCGTACTCAGAAGTACCGTGAAGCTCTGGAAGGTCCGCCTTGGAACCAGAAGATCGAAGATCAGGTAGCCTCGGGATGTGCTGAGAGCTGCATGGTGCTGAGCGATGGCAACAAACCTATAATACTACGCGAGGTCGACAAATACCTCGCGCTAGTTGCGATCATGAAGGAAGACAGCTATGATAAGATGCCTCTTGTCAACATGAACGTTGAGGTTGTCGTACAGGGTGTGAAGGAGTTCTTCGAGATTACGAAGCCAAAATGAGCAACATTTCGGTCTTCCATTTGGTTTTATAAATTGAGAAAAGATGATCTCCTGTAGGAGAAACGCCCAACTATCTCTATGTATATTCTGTGGCGTGGGGTGGTATTCGACAAACGAATGAACTACCATTACAATTACGAGATGGGCTATTCTGCGGTCCATGCCAGTCTGGCATAACTATAGTCTATGCTCCATGAGCAAAATTTGAGGGCAGCCAGAGCAGTCGTCTGAATGATAAGTTGAATATAAAAGGTAGTCTACTGATAGCCTACGAATTCTATGCTGAATAAACGCGAGACTTTGAATCCTATTTCTTATCCTATCTTTAAAATAACTGGCTCAGGAGTTCGCGCATACCAAATCTACCTAAGGTACCTAAGGTAGGTACTTTATGAATGGCATTGAGCTGGTACCACCAATCACATAAGCTTTCCGGAGCGCGTGGGCAGAACTGGAACAGTGCTTAACAAAACCAGGTAAAAGAGTAGCGGTCATCATGATTAAAGATGGATCTGCCAGATCTGTACGACACAGCACAGCCCAAACCCGGCTAGGCATCAATATAAGATTTCATCTCTAGGTGGTAAAAGGGGATGCCCCCGGGTCGGGTCCAATCAACCCATTTAGTCCAGACTTTTAAACACGCTGTAAACGCGGAGTAGCATGGTAGTGAACCGGCAAGTCGTCAAGCCTCAAGTGGGAGAGAATTAAACTTGAAACCTACCTCATAGGTACCTACATACGTGCCTGCGCTCAGGCTCACCGCTGCTCATCTAACAAGCGTCACGGTTGCGCAGGGCGATAATTCATCTATTCTTCCCCCCCCCCTTCTTTCAACCATGCGGTGTCCGCGGCTCATCCTCGCGCTAACATGCTCCGCGGCGGCGACGGCATCCTTAGCTTCCGCGGACCCGAGCGGCGGCGGTGCTGCGACCCTCGGACAGCTCGCGCTGCAGAAAGTCCTGCGGGACAGTCGAGACGTGTTCGGCGCGGAAGACGACGATAACGAAAAGTCGTCGGCGCCGCACCCGTACGCGGACTGGATGGCCCGCGTCCCGGACGACACGCCCCTCGCGCGTCTGAGCATCCCCGGCGCCCACGACGCCGCGACGTGGAATTACACGCAGGCGACGCAGGATGCGCTGGCGTGCTTGACTTACTCCTGCCACTCTAACCCCTCCTCCTCCTCCTCCTCCTCCTCCTGCTCCTCCTGCTCCCCTTCCTGCTGCAACGGCAACGGGTCTTCCGACCTCCTCCTCCTCCCCATTCCTCCCGCGCAGGTCTTCCGCACGCAGCGGCGCAGCATCGCGGCCGCGCTGGACGCCGGGGTGCGGTTCTTCGACCTGCGGTTCGCGGGGGACGGGCTGGGGCAGCAGGGCCGGGGGCTCGCGTTCTGGCACGGGGCGGCGTTGCTGTCGGCGCGGGCGGACGTCGAGGGCGTGATGCTCGCGGTTTACGCGTGGTTGGAGCGGCGGCCGAGCGAGAGCGTGTTGTTGAGCTTTCAGTATGAGGGAGGGGGTGGTGGTGGGGCAGGGTTTGACGAGGGGGTGCAGGGGATGTTAAAGCGGGTGTTGGGGTCGGAGGGCGCGAGCAGGTACGTGAGACGCGGGAGGGGGAGGTTGGGGAGTATGGGGGAGAGTAGGGGGAAGATAGTGCTGCTGAAAAGGTTTGATATGGATGGTGATGAGGATGACGATGAGGATGGCGAGAAGGCGGGAGGACTGCCGGGACTGCATCTAAGTCCCGCGAAGTGGCCGGATAACAACCCCTCCGGGTTCGAACTGGTGTACAACGCGACGAGCGGCGAGAGGGCGTGTATAGAGGATTATTACGGGCCTGCTACTGCTGGGGCGAATTCGTCTGTTGCGGAGATCGTGCGGGCGAAAATGGCGGCGGTGAAAGCGCATCTGGAGAAAGCAGCAGCTGCTACTACTGCTACTAGTACTACGGAGGAGGAAGATAGCTTGTTCATCACGTTTGCGTCGGGCAAGCGTAATGCTAACGTCCCGCCTGTGTTCCCCGAGACGATGGCGCTGGGAAACGGGACGGATGTCACGCCGGACGGGGGCGTGAATCACCAGTTAGCCGCGCTGCTGCGGGAGATGCGCGGGAGGAGGCTGGGCATCGTGGTTGTGGATTTCTTTGACGAGCCTGGTGATTTGGTCGAGCTTATACTAGGTTCTTAGATTCTTTGACGGACTTGATGAGCTAGTTGGCTAGTGCTAATAGCATATACATCTACAGTCAACTTGATGGCCGTTTGACTTGGAGCTTTGCAATGAAGGCTAGGTAGCTATATGATATGGTAAATACAAGGTAGTTACAAAAACTATCCACAAAATTACAGGAGGCTTCTATGAAATCTACCCGATCTTCAAGTAGTGGGAATAGAAATAATTGACTTCTCTGCCATTTTATTGTTCTTGTAAGCTCTTGTAAAAGAGGCAAAGAAGGTGAAGTTTACAAAGGTCCTAGTTTTGTTAATAGCATAGCATGCTTCTAATGATAAACGACTCTTATATGGCCCATTTTCCACATATAGAGCACATCCTGTCTCTCTTTTCCTAAGGTAGACCTACTCGACTGGTAGAATCCAGTTAGAAGAATTTGGCCGTCGCTCAGATTGCCAAAATGAGTTTTACCGGGGCATCAGAAACTAAACTGTCCGGGCGCCATGTCCACTTACAGGATAACCATTTCGCTAGTATCATCAGCGACAATAAGAGTGAGATCAGCATCCGGTGGAATAAGGCTAAAAAACATTATGTCTTGAATAAACTACCATGACGGGGTCGTGAATGTTGCTAGACACTCGGTTGCCTGACACGACAAGATAGGCCTTAACAAGTTGGATACTTAGAACCTACCTAGACTAGGAGTAAACTATCCACGCGTTCCTATATACGAGATTAAACTTTTGTAATGAGACCGAGTGTAGCGTAGCGATGTGGATAGCTAGTCACCGTCGTAATGGAAGTGGTATTTTCTGCGCCCGGAGTTGAACACCGGGAGGGAGAGAGGCTAAAGCGCAGGGATCCGACGTAGATCAGGAACACAATAGAGCCCAAGGCAAATAACTTCGAAGCCCGCGGACTTAGTGTAGTATAGGAGCAACGGGATTTTGTTGGGAAGCCCTCGATCCAGCCTAGTTCAGCAATTTTCATCCTGGACCGTACCGTCCGATACCTTGCAGTCCACCGGAGCTGGCAGGCTACGAGATGACGGCCTTAGGAACTTCTATACCCCAAACTGTCCAGTTACGGCAGGCTGATGCTGGTTCCTCGCCCACACGTTATCCACCAGCCCACTCGAGCAGCCAACTGTCGTCATCCTAGGCTTCGTATTGATAAGCATATAGTCAGAAGCTACAGCGTCATAATTGAGAGGTAATGTTACAAGATCTAGCATCTGTGTAACCGGCTCGGTCCGTTTAAAGATTGACTTCTTGAGGGAGGGTATCAAGCTTTTATATTAAACATCTCGATGGGCCGCGGTATTTGGAATTCATCCAGCGACACGTTATAGGTTCGGCATTTATCAGCGGCCCGGTTCACCGGGCTCCGGTGCGCTGGGGCTGGGGCTGGGGCCGGGTAATTTCAGCCCTTCCAACAAGCGCCGCTCAATAAAACCCGCCCCGTAGGAGCGAAGACCTCCCGGCCGTAAACGTAACAACGTTCTTTGTTAGAGATTCGGACGTTCTGCTTCGAGAATATATATATCTATAAATTGGGGCGCCATGACCGCGCTGTAAGCAGTCGATGTATATATGCTACGTATAAGCGCAGCAAGTAGAATAAGTTTAAAGTTATGATTGACATTGGTCGAATATTCGAAACAAATCCTGTCATCCCCGTTAGAAGCAGAAAGTTCATTTACATCCTTTAAATAGCATGGAGTGTTGGTTAAAAGATTTAGGGATAAAAACAGAAAGATTAGCAATGTCGATATCCGCAATACGTTTTAGAATTAGTAGTCTTATGTCTTATGTTCAGAAAAATGGCAGGCGAGTTGGGTTTCCAATTCACTTCACAAAGATTGTCCTCATCGAAGATTTGTTTAACTGAGAGAAAGTTGTATGTAACTGTTTACACCCCGGTAAATAGAAGGGTAGTATTGGATGACAACTCGCCCTTCGGCGGAGTTAAGGAGTGAGCGCGAATTCTAAGCTTATTGTTTTCGTAAATGTATGTATGTTGGCGCGCATGATTCAAGGTCGCCTCGTGATAGGACATATCCATGTATGAGGATATCTTGAACTTCTTACATGGTGATGACAGATGTCACTGGAACCAATTTTGCCATCGGCTTGATGCCAGAAGAATCAGAGCCGAGGCCGAAGATGCGATTAATTGCTAATATGACGAAGACGTCTGAGATATGGTATCGCGCCTAAGGTAGGAAGGTCCAAAGTTTCCTTGAGGCTATACTATATACGGGTTGTCCAAACCGATAGACTAGACCTCCTACAGAGAAATCAGTCATGATCTGTGAAATCCCTGGAAATAACGTGCCTTCGCGTAAATGCGGCCCCAGTCCGCACGACCAATGTAGCTTCTAGAAGCTATTCAGTTTTTCGAATTAGAGGTCAAGAGTCATCGCCGGTTACGGTCAGATCTTCGAGGCCAGGGCAAGGGGGGAGGTCGCTGGCGGGTATCTTGCGGGTACCTATGTTACGGGGCACTTTTAGGAATCAAATTACTGAGTCAGTCAAAGGTATACCTAAAGGAGAGGCCGTCTTGAACGTGGAGACGGGATGGGGTAGGTAGTGGGTAGTTCGGGGTTATCGGTGATGTTGGTTTTAGGTGAGGCTACGCCGTAAGGAGTGCGCATAGGAAGCGGTCCGGCACCTACATAGTAGAATAATAAGCGCTAAAGTTAGACCTATTTACATGCTAGTCCTATTAAATTGATGTAAGTCGAACATGGAGGTACCTAAGGAAGTACCTTGCGATCTAATGCGGATCTTCGTTTAACCGACGACCGACGCCCGACGCTGGATAAGGTACCTAGGTACCTACCTAACCTGGTGGTGGTTAGGTGTCCCGTCGGGTACCTAGGTACAGCGCTCCATAGGAAATACCTACCTCTAATCACGGTATCCAGTACCTTAGGTTAGTTGGTTCCAAAAACATTTTCCATAGTCCAACTTCAAATCTATTTTCGATTCCATTCACATCTACCAAATGTCGCGTCATACGCTACACATAAAAAAAGATGAAAAAAAAAGAGCAAAAATCAACCAATAAAAATATGTGGACGCGTACACACGTGATGGGAATATAATGGTAATGGGATCTTGGCAATCAGGTCACCAAGACACCTTAGCTCGTGATTCTCGGTGTTTATAACCACATACATCCAACATCCAACTAAGTTCACCGTACAGCTTGTGGGATGAAGACGTTAATGCCAAGCCAACCAAGCGAACCGAGCTTTCATAATCACCACTACCATACCGCAAATCCTGCTGCGAGCCCTGCAACTACATAGGTAATCTGGATACTAGTACTATGTATGTCCCACCGGAAGTAGCCAAGAACCGAGATCCGGCTTTACTGCGTCATCTAAGGTCATGAACTCGGTCTTGTCATTGAGAGATGTCTCCAGTAAAGAGAGACGAGAAGGTCGGTTCGATCTGCTTCAACCCTCTTCCTCTTAGATTCATTTCTCCCGCCCATTATACAATGCCACTCGCAGCCTAAAGGATCAGGTAGGTTAGGTAGGTAGGTATCTGCGATAGCGAGTACCTAGACACACGTTGAGAAATCCATGTGAGAAATCATTACCCCAAGGAGCAGAGCGCAATCCTTCCAGCGGCGGCAACACAATTCGTGGACCGCGCGAAGTTACCTCGAGCGGCATTGGGCCTGTCAGTCATTCTTAACCTGCGATTGGTAGCCGTCTACGTCTCCATTTCATTTCATGCAAGTGCCGGGTTTTCATCATGCCTGCAAGGATCTTGGCCGTCTTCGCAGCGGCCAATGCCCGGGAGCTTAGATGGAATCTCCCTGACCCCCAAGGCCATCGTCAAAACGACCTAACCTAACTTACATTAGGTACACTACCTACATACCTCGTTCGACGTCCGATTCTACCTCTACTACTTACAAGTTACAACCAGGTAGCGGTCCAATGGTGTGTAATTCTTCCGAATGGTAACACGCAAACCACCACTTCAATGCAAATGCAACTTATGTTATGCAGGAGAATGGCTCGTTCAGATAGGAGCTCCCCTCCAAATATCCGTCCAAATATCAAGTATTAATTTGGGGCCTACTTGATAATATTACTAAACTACATCCCGTATCTCCATCCGCTTCGTACGATTTTCATATATCCATGCAACACAAGAACGTTGCCCTCCTTCTTCCCAAGCTCTTCTCTGGGTCATACAGCTTGTTGCTAAGCTAATCGACCCTGCTGATTGGATTTCGGCCAAGCTCGGCCAAGACAGTTTGTCTTGGCTCTTGTTTTCCCTTTCTTTTTTTAGCTTTGTCCACCCATCGTCGGTACATAGTAGGCGGGTTACATGCATCTCAAAGACCCCCACACCCGGATCATGTATATGCAAAAGTCTCTCGTACCTGACAGTGGTGATTAGGTATGCAGATGACGGCTTGATACAACAATAATATACTGCTCCTATTACGAAGCGAGAAAAAATTAATTCAAATTGGCAGGTAGCTTTCTCTTACAGATAGGAGTTTCTCGAAGGGGTAAGAACAAAATATCGTTTATCTCGAGTTTTGGACTACCTTAGGTAGGCATACTCCTTACTGCCGATCTCTATTCGACTATTCATCTTTAGTACGAGGAAACCGGGATTTTCGGCTGGGTACCTTTCTTTCGGCGAAAAGTCATCGAAAAGGTCTAGTACTATGTCACCATATTCAATAGCACTACCCAGCCACGACGAATATCGCGAGAACATTTTACGCACACGATGAACAAACACGACGCTAGCCGAACCTTGTTAACTAGCCGAACGAAGCTATCCCCTGGGCCAAGGTATATCACGTCAACGCCAAGTGGCGTCTCTATCTTGTCACGTTCGAGATGCTGTTACCAACGAGCAGCTTACCCTCTTTGCCTCTGTAAGCGCCTATAATTTCCGCCCCTGTGGCACGGTTGAACTCCCCTAGGCTTCCACTAGCCTTCGGGTTTTATGTGCCATTGAGTTGATATTTCCGCTCTTGGCATCTAGGTTGAAGGTATACAGCACATGTATTAAGTGTTGTACATAGCATGTATCCTTCGACCCTCTCTCTCATCTCGTCACACATCGAAGCATGGGGTCGGGTGCATTAACTAGGTATATCCGATTTGACTTTACCATCATCTCCAACCTTACTGGCAGCTTCCCTGGATTAGCGGCCATTTTTGTGGAGATGACCAAACGATGACCCATGGCTGCAGATGGGGGGTCACGGGCGAAAGAAATAGGATGTAGTGTCGACAATGAAAAATGTGTAAGTGGGTTGAAAGTTTTGTAATATTCGAATCCTGATTAGAGCCTCAAGCAAACGATCGAACATGGAAGGTTCATGCAGGTCTGATCCTTGTTTCTCTATTGGATTATAAACACTTCGTGGAACCCTTCGTCATGTATAAGAAGCTGTACCTGCTTCTCATCTGCAAGCCTTTCCCTTGTCCTAGGCCTAGATTCACTCGAATATATATTTGAAGGGACGAGGGAAATAATATACTACACAAGATGGGCCGTGTATCCACCTCCACTGCCCTTCTTGGGCTTCTTGGACTTGCCTCAGCATCTGGTTGTCCTTTTGCGAACCCAGCTGCTGCTCTTCGTAGTAGAGCTGATGGTGCTACTGAAGACCCGATACTCGCCGCCACAGTCGATGACAGCAGTGGTTACTTTACTGATGATGTCGGTGGACAAATCCAGGAGCAAGACAGTTTGAGAGCTGGCGACAGAGGACCTACCCTATTAGAAGATTTTATCTTTCGTCAGAAAATCACACACTTTGATCATGAACGAGTAAGTCGCATAACCTTTCCCATCCTAGGTCCGTACAGCTATGAGAGCCTAGGATCTCGGTACCATCATATATATACTGTCATAGTTCGTACTAACGAATTCATAGGTTCCCGAGCGAGCTGGTGCGTTCTACCAAGTAAATGACTACAGCGCATTTGAGCTAACATTTCCAAGTCCATGCAAGGGGTGCCGGAGCTCACGGCACATTCACGAGTTATGGGGACTGGAGTAATATAACGGCGGCCTCGTTCCTGAGCAAAGCTGGAAAAGAAACTCCAGTTTTCGTACGATTCTCGACCGTAGCTGGATCGCGTGGAAGTGCCGATACGGCACGCGATGTCCACGGGTTTGCGACAAGATTGTGAGTGTTGGCGCTTTGTTGTCCTTTGAACTCATCGCTAATATGAAATCTAGCTACACCGATGAGGGCAACTTTGGTATGGTCACACAAACACTTAGTTATGCCAATTTGAGACTAATATTTCCAAGATATCGTGGGAAATAATATCCCGGTGTTTTTTATCCAAGATGCCATTAGGTTTCCAGATTTAATTCACTCCGTGAAGCCAAGCCCAGATAGCGAGATACCTCAAGCGGCTACAGCTCATGACTCGGCTTGGGATTTCTTTTCTCAGCAGCCGAGTACACTCCACACCCTCTTTTGGGCTATGGCTGGCTTTGGTATTCCACGCAGCTTTAGGCATATGGTTAGTCCAGTGTAGATACGGTAATTTGAACGTAACTATGCTAACCTTCGTAGGACGGCTTTGGCGTCCACACGTTCCGCCTTGTAACCGACGACGGCAAATCTCAGTTCGTCAAGTGGCACTGGAAGACGAAGCAAGGGAAGGCTAGCTTGTACTGGGAAGAAGCTCAAATCTTGGCCGGCAAGAACGCGGATGCTCATCGACAAGATCTATTCGAGGCTATCGCCGCCGGCAATGGTCCCGAGTGGGAACTTGCTGTCCAGCTAGTCGACGAGGACAAGGCCCTTGCGTTCGGATTCGATTTATTAGACCCTACCAAGATCATCCCTGAAGAGTATGTCCCTCTTCAGAAGCTTGGCGTCATGAAGTTGCACACAAACCCGACGAACTACTTCGCGGAGACTGAGCAAATTATGGTAGGGTTTTCAAGTATCTATCGATCTTTAACCTACCTGTTTACTAACCACAACACAGTTCCAACCTGGACATATTGTGCGGGGAATAGACTTTACCGAGGATCCCCTATTGCAAGGTCGCATCTTTTCCTACCTGGACACTCAGTTGAACAGACATGGTGGCCCCAACTTTGAGCAGCTCCCCATCAACAGACCACTTATCCCCATTAACAACAACAACCGTGATGGTGCGGGCCAGAACTTAATTCACAAGAACATCCACCCTTGTAAGCTCTCCTTACCCCCTAGAATTAACTGAAGCCCTTCAACTGACACTTTCTTGGAAGACACCCCCAACTCTCTGAACGGCGGATACCCTAAGCAGGCGGACCAGAAGAATGGACGCGGGTATTTCAATGCCCCTTCCCGGAGCACGAGCGGCCGACTCGTCCGTGGTCTCTCGTCTACCTTTGACGACCATTGGTCGCAGCCGCGACTCTTTTACAACTCCCTTCTCCCCGTAGAGCAGCAGTTCCTCATCAACGCCATCCGTTTCGAGACCAGCCACCTGCAGTCCACCGAGGTGAAGAAGAACGTGCTACTGCAGCTCAACAGGATAAGTAACGACGTCGCCGTCCGCGTCGCCTCCGCTCTCGGCCTCGAGGCTCCTGCCCCCGACGACACGTACTACCACGACAACACGACGATCAACATCAGCATCGTCAACAGCACGCTGCCCACCGTCGCCACCCTCAAGGTCGGCATCCTGGCTAGCACGACCAAGGCGAACGGCACAAACGCGCTCGACCAGGCCAAAACCCTGAAGCAGCGCTTGGGCAACGACAACCTGACCGTCACGGTCGTGGCCGAGAGCCTCGTCGAGGGCGTCGACAAGACGTACTCGGCCGCCGACGCGACGGACTTCGACGCCGTGGTCGTCACGTCCGGCGCCGACGCCGCGGGCCTCTTCGCCTTGACAGCGTCGGCCGGCAAGCTGAACCCGCTGTACCCACCCCTGCGGCCCCTGCAGATCGCCAACACGGCGTACCTGTTCGGCAAGCCCGTCGCGTACTTCGGCAGCGGCTCACCCAGCGACTCGCTCGCCGCGGCGGGCCTGGACCCCGTGGCCGAGGGCGTGTACGCCGATAGCGATCTGGAGAAGGTGGCGACGGGCCTCGTGGACGGGTTGAAGACGTTCAAGTTTACTTCGAGATACCCCTTGGATAAGACGGATTGATTACTGCCTAATGTGGAGGGAAATTGAAGAACGGGGAAGTGAAAGAGTTGTTTCGTGTGAGGTACCTACCTAATGACTTAATGTAGTATGCTTCGCTGAGGGGGGTGGGTAATGTATATATTTGTTTGGAAAACTGATCATGATAAGTTAATACCTTGTTTACGTCGTAACGCTTTTCGTCCAGTAGGTGGTTTTATGTTTAATGATATCTGATAGAAGCCCTTAGTGATATTTGAAGCAGTGTTAATACCAGCCCCTAGATCGAACGTCTGTCTCCCCTTTACATTACAAGTCAAGATAGTATGAATATAAGAAAAAGCAAGATTAATGATGATGCGAGGACTTGTGCCTATAACTTATGGTGCCCCTGGTAGGGATCATATATCGAGTATAGGATAGTTAAAGGTTCGCCGTGGGATCCTATACTGGATTTTACTATAGGAGAGGGTCATCCGGTATAGCTCGTATGAGACGTACTATATATTCATTTCACTGGGATCAGTTCCGCTACTTGCTCCCTTCATTAGGCAAGGTACCTATATATATATATAAAGCTCATCGGCGAAGTCCTCGGACTGGACTACATGTACCTAATGATACCTAGTACCCAGCACTCAACCTGAAAACCGAGCCAATGTCTCTCGATCTAGTATGTATTCCCATAACTTGCTAGGTACCCAACTCCTCCACATAATCAATCAATCACCTTAGGTAAAAGCACCGCTGCCCGAACGAATAAGCTGGCAATACGACCTCCGACCCCCACCCCTTTCAGTTCATTGGGTACCTACCTACCTAACCTACCTCGTACTTCCGATATCATACATCAGGTAGGTAGATACCCATGGTACGCAGGCAGGCCGGTAGGTGCCTACCTAAGGTAGCCCCAGCAGGCCACATGACCGCACCCCCATGCCGCCTCTAGAAACACAAGACCTCGCGCTCATGCACGACATCGCGCGGCCGCATACGGGTGTCGGTCACGTGAGCTGGGCCCGGGGGGTTGGGGATGGATGCGTTGGCATGGAGAAATGTCCGAGTTTACGAGGGTTTCCAAACAATTACTTTCTCTTATATAAATAGGTAGGTAGGTAAATACATATCCAAGATCATAAATATTGGTACGGTTTAAATAGCTACTAACGTTTAACACGCTTTTAATAATAAATCGGATGGAAACGTTTGAAAGGGTTTTAGAACACTTAAATAAGAGGTACTTAATATTAATACATTAAATATTTTATATCATTGGAATGGTTTGAACGTTTGAGCTTTTATCTCCTCCCCGTTGTCCCTGTTACTTACCTAACCTTGAACCAGTACGTCTTGAAAAACGTACGTGACGTACCAGGTAGATAGCAAGAGTCCTGGCTGTTTAAGTCTTCGGAATCGTCTATATAAAGGCCTCTCCCTTCCTCTTCGAAGGCGATTCTTCTTTCTTCTAAGTCTTCAAATCCTCAAGTACTAGCCAGCCAGCTAGCCAGCCAAAGTAGCCAGGAGGGGGGAGGGGAGGACGCTTTTGGACTTCTATTTTTAGCGTTTAGGGGCTAGGGTAGACTCTGAGCAGGCCTGAGTGTCCAATAAAGTCTATTACGTTCATTATTGCTATCAATATGATTATACCAATTGATTACAATACCTCCGAATCTCTGTTTCACGGCAGCATCATACTAAGTCACTATTATAACGGCAAAGCACTAAACCATCGTCATTATTAACCATGCCCACGTCTGACGTAGATGCTCTCATCGGCGATCTCCTTCACCAGCTTGAAAAATATGGAACATGCCCAAGACATTTCAACACTGCATAGATTAGAGAAGGAGTCTTTGTATTTGAAAAAGCAGATTAAAGCAACATCCAACCTCCTCTCTGCCACGATTTCCCTACTCGAGAGGAGTCGATTCGGGTGTTTATTGGTGTCCTTACCATGGCTCACGCACGGGAGGTATATACATTCCTGATTCGGAGACTGACATGAGTGGTCTGCTAGGGGAGGGCCGACTGCCTGGGCCACCGTTATGCTTTTCTGCAGATAAAGGCACCGTATTAGCTCTATTATGTATATATGACGAAACCACTGGAAACCTGGATAGTAAGTGCAGAAAATAGTCCCACTTGTCTACTAAGCACGGGAATACCACAAGCTACTACTAGCGAGCTATGTGTAAAAAGTCACTATAGTTATGACTTATCCCGTACACAAGAAATAACACCAGAATTATGTTCGACAGCGCGTGCTTATAGATATCCGTACTTAATAGAACAGCTCTTTTTTGTTACACCACGCCCCCCTTCTGGCTCCACTAGCAGAATTTGCTCGCAGAATATACGCGGGTTGAGCCAGGGGAAACGCTCCGGTAGGTTGGACTCCTTATCGGGATCTGTATCCTAATGATTCCCCGAACGAACTAGGGGACGTAACTCAACCATGTAGAAGGCCCTAAGATGATACATATTATATGGAGGGGGGGCATAAGCGCGAAAGGCCCAACAGAGTCGATACCAGCTGCAAGCGGTAGCAGGAATAGAAGCAAGTGATCAAATAGCTTTTTGTTTTTGGTATTCGGCCAGACCTTAATTCTTTTTCTTTTATTTAATTATTGTTTTTATATAATTTTTTAAGTTAGAATATCTATATATAAATAAAGTAAAAAATTAAAATAGTTAATATTGTTAATAAAAGTATTTTCGAAATTAACTTTGTTTTTAATAATATTTAAATTATAATAAGTTACGTACTTATGTTTTAATTAATTAATATATTTTTTCGGCTTTTAACGTTTTAAACACGTTTAATACTTTTAATGTTTTTATTAATTTATTATTTTTATTATATAAATTATTAAGCTTATAACTCGAGTAATATCCTTAAATTAACTATTAAAATTTACGTTAAAAAAATAATTAAGTTTTATTAATTAAAATTTTATTATTTTTTTAATTTTATTTACAAAATAAAATATTAATATTATAAAATTAATAAGGGTTTTTTTAAGTTTTAATTTTAATTTAACCATTTATATATTAAATAATTATATATTTTATTAAAATAAAAAAATAATTTAACTTTTTGAAATATTTTTTTATAAGTTTTAAAAAACGAAATTACTTAATTATTAATGTTTTTTTTATAATTATTAATATTAACTATATATACGTTCGCAATTATATTTAATTAAAGTTTAAATTAATTAAATATATTTACAATTAACCTTTTTATAAATATATATATTATATATACGAAAATTAGTTAAATTTATATACACGCGTGGATTTACGTATAATTAATTCGAACGTGTTACGAATTAATAGCTTAATAAAGCTATATTAAATATGGAAGCAAGGTATTAATTAATAACGATTTGGTTAAACTTTAGTTAATTAAATCTTATGGATTTTAAGGATTTTGTTAAGATTTTAAAATTAATAAAATTAATAAAATTAATAAAATTAATAAAATTAATAAAATTAATAAAATTAATAAAATTAATAAAATTAATAAAATTAATAAAA